CACAGATCTTACAATACACTTCACAGCACAGATCTTACAATACACTACACAGCACAGATCTTACAATACACTACACAGCACAGATCTTACAATACACAGCACAGCAAAGATCTGATATAACATTACACAACACAGATCTTACAATACACTACACAACACAGATCTTACAATACACAGCACAGCAAAGATCTGATATTACATTACACAACACAGATCTTACAATTCACTACACAGTACAGATCTTACAATACATTACACAGCCCATATTTGACATTACGTTTTGCATTGGAGACATTCAATCAATGGTGCAAAATCTTTTTTTTTTTATAAAGTGAATGCCAAAGAGTGACGTCAGTGCTTGAACAATCACCTTAAAAAAAAAAGTTCTTTAGTTTGTTATATTTTTTGGTTTTATTATTTGATGTCAAAATGTAATAGTAATTGTTTAATTCAATTTGATTTATAGGTTGTACACAAAAAACGTTTTTAATTGATTTAAGAAACAAGTTAGAGGGTATGTAGAAAAAGTGTTTGTCATTATATAGGTTAGTCTTTTTTTAATCTGATAAAAGGATTGAAATGAATTTAAAAATATAGATTATATGTATGTAATGATTATTGCTGTTATGTAAGGTTATTCTGAAAAGGGACCCAGGTCATTTTTTCCCCACCAACACCTTCTTTAGCTACCTTTTTTCAGCCAACCATTATCAGATGGTGGGCCATTCAATTCACCCTTGGTCTGTCGTTAATCCGTCCAACCATCATTCGTCCGTCATCCTGTCTATTAGTCCTGAAACAATTATTGTTAGCGCTATTTCTAAGAAAGAATTTGAGGGATGTTTCTCAAATTTCAGATGAAGGTTCCCCATGTCCCTTGTTATGCATAACAACAAATCGGGAATTCACGATGGCACACAGGCAGCCATATCTGTCTCAAATTCCATGTAAAGATTCCCCAAGGTCTCAAATTAGGCATATAGCAGTCATCTTGGATTTTGACAGTTATGTTAAACGTTATCTTTATTTCTCAGAAAGTAACAGAATAATCTTACTTAAATGTGGTATGCAGGTTTCCATTGGTCTATAACTGTGCATGTTTATTTTTGAGACTGATTGGAAAAACAAAATGGACAACAGGTGGCCATCTTGGAGTTT